GCTCCTCATTAAATGTGGCAAACACTTTCAAATCCTTGACAAGTATATCCACTGCCTTGGATCGGTCATGCCTAGCAAAATTTCAACACTTTCATCAGGTTGCAGAAAAACCAAATATATAACTAAATCCACAACATTGATTTTGGAACTGGAGAACCGGAAGCTTACTTATCCAATGCTTCAAGGTACTTCTGCTTCCTTATTTCAAAAAATATTTTCATTGAATAACGATTATCATCAACCTTAGTGAAACCAGAGAGATATTTTTCCACCTCGTCCCAGTTACCATTATGAACTTCATCCTCAAAATACTTCATGTTGAAGTAAAACCCAGATTCCTGCTCAAGCCTATATAGAGTTCGAAGCAACATGCACAATAAGTCTTCTCCATTCACCAAACTGACGAGTAGGAGCAATTCAATAGGTAATTAAGACTGAATGAAAGAAGAAAAACATTACTTGTGCACAGTCTCCTTGAACTTTTCCTCGTCAAGGAACTGCAAGATCAGAAAAACCAGCTCTCTACTGAGAGACGACATCTTAAATGCCCCGTATTAGCTAGCAAATTCCTGCTTGTCTCCAAAATAGCACTAGATCTGCGGGGGGAAAAGTAGGGATCCGAAAAATTACCAAAAGGGTAGCTATAAATGACACAAATGGTAAAAAAACACCTAATCTTTTTACTTAAAATCCACGAAAACTTAGCAGCTCTACCTAAAACCAGATCATGGAACCAAACCCAAGTCCTCACGTACTCCAAAAAATAAAAAATCGCAGCTTTCGCACGGTAATTAACAAACAAAGGTGGAATCAGAAATCGGCAGCAAACCCCCAAAGCAGAATAAAAGTTTGAAACAAAAAAAAAATTAGGGTTTCGTGATACTTTAGGAGAAGGGGTTTGCTAGCATCCGATTGGGAAATAGGAATCTCAGATACAACGAAGCCAGGAGATAAGGCAAATCAGAAAACAAAATGAAGGTAAAGTAAGTGGAAAGCGATAAGATTCCATAACAAAGGAGTTCTGTAACTGCAGAGTTAAAACTCACCTTCTCCAACAGCAAAAGGAACTAATTTCATCCAAGAGCTAAAAGAGATCAGCAAACACACAGCTCCCCCACCGAACTGAGAGAGAGCTCAAGAGAAGAAACTTCTTCTTCGTCCTCTCTCTCTCTCTCTCTCTCCTCCTTAAAAAGCTCCAACTTTCTCTCTCTACAAATCAAAACCCACAGCCAAAAAAAGGCGTAATTTCTTATCTCTCCTTTTCCCCCCCTGTGTCTGCACGAGACGAGAAGAGACGACTCTCTTCCACTTTGAAGAATTATTATGGATCACACAAACGTTTATATATATGTCAAAGAAAACTTGCTGGGAATATCAATTTTATTTTATAGAAAAGACGGATATAAGGAGAGTGATAAGGTCAGTAAACTATCACTTGACTTATATCATATTGAGTGATAAGTGCGGTGATAAGGTGAGCACTTTTTCTGCATTAACTACAGGGTCTTTGTTGTGGGTCCCAGTAAGCCGGCTCTCATTTTTGTCGAGTTTATCGGCGCGGAATCTCCCGGCTGACAACTGTCTCAACTCAGCGGTGGGAAATGATTCGGTACAGATGAGGCACAGGATAAGAGCTTTAGCGATGGGAGGCGGATGGGGAGTGGACGGAAGTTTGAGGTGGGATCCGACGGCTGTAATGAGACGGAGGACGTGAAGCTCGGAGTGCTCCACAATATAATAGAGTTATATTATTGCATTTTTCTTTAATTTTAAAAAAATAAAAAAAATAAAAAACTTGTCCCAGATCAGGATCCCATGGCGAGAAAAACGACAAGCTCTTTCCCCTCGGATTTGACGCGAGGGAAAGTTTTGCCCTTCGAGTTGGTCAAATATTGCCAGTCTTCGCCACTAGGTCAAGTTAATAGTCCAGCTCCTCTTCCTCCCTATCTCTGTTTTGAGTAATTAGTATAAACCTTTGTACTTAGTAAAAAATGTAAAAAAATTTTAATTTGTAATGGTACGGTAATCAAAGTTTGAAATGGTCACTTTTATTTAATTTGTGATCGTTTTGTATTAATTACAAAGACTTGTTACCAAGTCATTACAAATTAAAGGTTTGTGACTATTTTAGGGTTGGATCATGTGTTCGTCAAGTATATGACACTAATCACTTAATGATATATGAGATCTTGGGTCGTGTGTTCTTAGGAACTGAGCTAGCTTGAAGGGAGGAGGGGCTACGTTGTATACCCTGTAAATAGCTAAACATTAAGATCTAGTGTCCCAACGTACTGGTTATGGGACATGATTTTTAGATCAATTCCACTGTGGAGTGGTGGGTTCGATCCTCCACCTTTGCATAAGCTCTTTAGGAGAGGGGTAGGATACGGTGACTACCCTCAAAAGGGTTTGATTTTTGACACCCCCTTTCTTATTGGTCCATTTTTCCTTAATCATTTGATAAGTATTAATGGAAGTTGTAGAATTTAACACTCGCATTAAATACACATTGGGATTTAAATACCCCATATTAATTACTTGCTTTTTTATATTTAAACCTATACTAAACACAATTCTCTCTCCAAAAAAAGCAAATAATCCCTCTTCTCTCCTCCCTCTCATCATATGCTTCCGCCGTTATGATTTTTCGATTTCTGATGTTTCAGATCTGACTTTTCGATTTTTCAGTTATGATTTTTGTACTACTGCACTGATATTTGTACCACTGCAATTAAACTCATATATGATATTTTATACCAGTGCACTGGTAGCGTTACCAATGCACTGGTAGAGATACCACTACACTGGTAGCGATATCAGTGCACTGGTACAAATATCAGATCTCAATTTAAATGTGGTGGTAGAAATATCAGTGCAGTGGTACTAGGTATCACTGCACTGGTACATTTTTTTAATGTAATGGTACATTTTTGTGGGTGGCCGGAGGAAGTCTTCCGGCAAGATTTCACCGGAGATGTGTGGCGGTCGGAGGGTGCTGGAAAAACGAAGAATGAGAGATAGGGAGAGAGAATTGTATTTAATGTAGGTTTAAATTAAAAAAACACAAGTAATTAATATGGTGCATTTAATTCTCTATGTGTATTTAATATGAATGTTAAAATTTATAGATTACATTTAATACTAAGGGGGTGTCATTTTTCCAACCCCTTTATGGGTTAGCAAGCTAACCGAACCCGAGACATGGAATCAGCCGTCTCCGAGCAATCTCCCAAGCATGCCATCACCTGGATCTTCACCATTTTTGTCAAGTGTGAAGGTGGAGCTCTGCCTGTGGCTGCTTCCCCATACAATCGCCTCCAGCTTCCTCTGTTTTTCACGTTCCAGACCATCTTCCCAACTTTCCTTCTTTCTTAATTTCCAACTCGAACCCTGTAAAGACTGTCACATCAAACCCCTAACATAGTCAGCAACATAAGCTTTCAAACCTGGTCTCGTTGTTGTCGGAGGAGTATTGATGTTGCTCTATTTGTCCCATGTTCCGTCACCCGAGGCCACAACAATAGAAGATGCAGCGACAACTTGTGCGGCAGTAGTTGTGATAGCCTCGGTGCTCCTGCCTTTCTCTCTCTCGTTTGCAACCTCCGCGCCCTTCTCCTTCAACTCGAGATTGATCGCATATGTGGTCGGTAGCTTCCCCACCAGGGACTCATCGTCTTCCGTCCTCTTCTCAACTAGTGAAGAAACGGCTAGCGATGATGGTGATGTCAAAGGGAAGACAGTTGTTGTTGCAACTGCTTTCTCGGGCTTCACATCTGTTGTAGTTGGTGGTGTTGGCGTGTCTTTTGTGGTCGGCAGATCACCACCATAAACTCCTCCATTGTTGTCATTTCGATCTTCATCTTCAAGTCTCTTGTGAGTTCTCTAAGCGAAAGTTCGAAGCTTGTCATAGCTTCGGTACATATGCCTACAACCGAGCTCTGATACCACTATTAGAAATCCTCTTTCTAGGGCTTTCCAGGGACTGATCTTCGACACCTGTGATTATTCTTAAAGATAGATATTAGGGATTGAGATAAGAAATTAGGAATTTAGATAGAAGAATTGTGGATTAGGGATTGAAGAACATAATTGGGAAGATAGGGAAGAACTGGTCGCCGTCGTTTCGGAGAGAGGTAGATGAGATTTGAAAGGGTTTAGAAGAGATTAGGATTATTAACTATTAAGAGATTATTCTTAATATTCTGCTTGATCCATTATAAATAAATTCAAACATACATATTTATAGGAAAATGCGGATAAATCCTAGTTATCCTACTATAATTAATAAGAGAAACACATGAAAACTGGGTTTCTAACAACTTGTTGTATTTCTCAATTAAGCCATCTTTTTAGTTTGATTCGAGCATTGAGGATAGCACAACACTATAGCAGCAACAAAAGCATGCTTATACTACCGATTCGCACCTGTAAATGAAAATTATGGTGAACATAATTAGTTTCATATAAAAGTTGAAAGGTCCAGTGATGAGACGCGAAGCGAAGAGATCCATGAAATCCAATCAATTCATAAAAGTTTCTGAAACTTTTAAGTGCATATAGATCTTGCAGCTCCTCTTGAACCCCATATTATGTAGCAATGAAGTAGATTTTGTTTAACTGAAACAAACAATATACAAAGACAAAGCACACTTAAGTCCTCGTAAAATGTGAATATAAGTGAATTAGTAAGTTGGAGCGAGAAAATCAATAGAGAAGAAAGCACCTTTCGACCCATCTATCAAGAAAAGAAGATTTGAGATTCAAGTCATTCTTATTCCCGTTCTCCTGGAACTAATCCCTCTTGTTGTGTCTCTCTAACCGCCACTTACTTAAGTTCGGCGATCAACTGAGATCCAAACACGAGATGGGAGATGGGAGATGGAGGGATGAAAGAGGGAAGGCGAAGGGATTGCATTGCAACGCACGGAAGTTTGTACTTTGGCGCAGAAAGCATACCCAGCTTTCATGTTTTAAAAGAATCTCCAGACTTCAGAACGACGACCTACTTACAAAAAAAGAGACGAATGGAGCACTTCAAAGAGACGATAAACCCCCTTCTTTCAATAATTCCATTCAAAGTATCTACTAAACCTCTACAACCAAAGTCAACTATCACCAACGTCTAAAGCTTGCCAACTGATTTATTCGAGTGGGCAGAAGGCAAGACAAAGTTGTAACTATAACAATGTAAAACACGTGTATCTTTTCTTTGTTTCTTCCCTGCAGTTTCTCATATGGAGAGATCAGCCAAGTCAAACGTTCTCTCAACAGCTTTCCCCCAAGACTCCAACTTCTTCTTCCTCAAGCTCTCCTCCAGGTTTGGGCGGAAAGTTGTGTCCGTCTTGCTCGTCCCTCCAGAGGCGAAGATCTCGCCTTCTTTCCATACTCCTATGGCCAAACCCGCTGCATAGGCTGCTCCCAGCGCTGTTGTTTCTATGTCTGCTGGCCTCACCACAGGGCTCCCAAGCAAGTCTGCCTGTTAAACCGGGAAATGCAAACATAGCCAGAATCAGAGAGTAGATACCCTTCACTCAAACAAACTGGTAGCAACCTCAAATTCTGATTCTTCATCATTAACACATTGATGGCATGAATAACTACAATATAGCTTTTCGATAGAGAAGATTCAAGACGAAGGCTTTCACCAAAAACTATACCTTCTTCTTTCGAGATTCATTCATCTCCATGAATTGAGAACTGACAGAGTACATAGAGATTTTTTTAATGCTTGGTACTACCATAAGTTCTATACCAAATACCCCTATTTCAATCAAGTAATTAAGTACACAGGAAATTTGAACAAACTAGTTCTCTTTATATGAGATAACAAGAATGGTTGAAAGGCCCAGAAAATAGGATTTGTTTCTAAAACTAAAACAACCTACAGAGAGTTGGCACTGTACTGGCTCTTCCCTATTTTCAGTAGACTGAAACCAGTAGAACATGGTTACCTTTTCCACCTCAGATAAGTGGTCTAGAAGTTAAAGTGCATGAAAAAGATAATCAAATTTATCAGGACAGACTATACAACAATATCTATGTCCCCAAAATGTGGAAAACAAGTTGTGATCCACGTGTCCTGAGAAGATCTAAATTTACATGCACGGCACCAATTGGTTGATAAGTGAATCCATGATTCTCCGGGGGGAAAAGTGGCTGCTATTCTGCAGAGCAATTCATCCCTGATAGACCAACCTAGACAGAGCAAATGAGTCCTAAAATGCACTAATTCCTTGTTGAATCCAACTTGATTGTCAACTCTACCCCTAGTGAAAACAACATAAAACACTCCTTCCTAACGAGTTTATTATAATTTCTATTTGTCTGCAAAAATTAGACAAGCGATAAGTGTTTATTGAGGACATCAGATGCACGAGGTACTCAAATTCAAAACATAGCAAGCGAAAAAGGGCCCCAAAAGCTCAAACCTGAATCTGCATAAGAAGGTTGTTAACAGTAGCACCACCATCCACCCTAAGCAAAAACTCTCCTCCCTTCTGTTTTCCATCTTTTTGAGACGCATCTTTGTGCATCGAATCCAGCACGTCCTTCACCTGAAAACACATGCTTTCCAGCACAGCTCGGGCAATGTGAGACCTGTTTGTGAACCTCGTGATCCCAATACAAACACCACGAGCATCATCTCTCCACCACGGAGCAAACAGCCCATTGAAAGCCGGGACAAAGTAAACACCCCCAGCTGACTCCACCTTCAGCGCCAACTCCTCAATCTCTTTGGCACTCTTAATTATACCAAGACTATCCCTGAGCCACTGTACTGCAGCTCCTGCAATAGCAATGGAACCTTCGAGAGCATAGTTCGTTGGCGCATTTGGACCAAGCTTGTATGCCAAAGTGGTAAGGAGCCCATGCTTCGACTTAACAATTTCCTCTCCAGTGTTGAGTAGTATGAAGGCACCAGTTCCATAGGTGCTCTTGGCCTCACCCTTTCGACAAGCTTGTCCAACCATGGCAGCATGTTGGTCTCCCAGGCAACCGGCAATCGGTATGCCAGTAATCGGCCAGCCTTTTTCAATCTTGCCAATGACCTCAGAGTTGCTAACGATCTTGGGAAGGATCCCAGGTGAGATTTTCAGAGCTTCCAGTGTGGCCTTATCCCAATCAAGAGTCTTGATGTTCATCAGCATGGTGCGGGAGGCGTTGGAGACATCAGTGACGTGCAATCCACCATTGATTCCACCGGTTAAATTCCAGATCAACCAAGTGTCTATTGTTCCAAAAAGGGCGTCCCCAGTTTTAACAGCTTGCTTAACTGCATCAACGTTTTCCAACAGCCAGAGTATCTTGAGCGCACTGAAGTATGTGCTGATTGGCAGCCCACATGTATCCACGAAGTGGGTCCTTCCTCCAGAGAATTCTTTCTCCAATTTCCTAGCAAATTTTAAAAAAGCAAGTTCAAGACATCAGCACATCGCCTTCAAATCAAATGATCAAATACAGAACAAAAGATACAATGAATGAATCATATTAGTAACCAATTGCCAATCTTCAGAAAGTCAAATCAAAGGGCACATGAACAAATTAAAGAGATGAAAACGCAACAACCCTCAATCGTCTATTATTGGGTAAAGGCCAAAAAGAGAAGAAGGAAAAGGACAAGGGAACAGGATTTAGGCAAAAAAGTAGCTTAGTAAAGAGACCTGCAAATAGCACTGGTGCGTACGTCCATCCAAACAATGGCGTTGTAGAGAGGAAGGCCAGTGGACTTGCTCCAAATGAGAGTGGTCTCTCTCTGATTGGTCAACCCAACAGCTTTCAATAAGCCATCGACGTTATGGCCATCGGCGGTAGCCTTGTCCATGGCTTTGGCCATACAGATTTTGACGCTCTCCAGAATCTCCAGTGGATTGTGCTCCACCCATCTGCGCACACAAAATCCACCCAACGAAATCCGAAATCCATGAAACAGAATTCAACACATATCAATTCCCCAATTAAGATGGATGAAAAAAAAAACAGGGCGGGAGGGAAATGATTCACGAACCCGGCTTCAGGGTAGAACTGAGTGAACTCGACCTGGTGAGATCCGATGCATTTGGTGTCTTGATCGTAGATGATGAATCGGGTGCTGGTTGTGCCTTGATCAATTGCCCCGATGAAAGCGACTTCTTTCTTCGCCATGCCTGCGCCTTTCTGGGTTTCTCTCTTGGGGGGGAAATTGGGTTGCTTTCGAGAGTGAGCTTTCCCTGGCTTCGATAAAACCGAGAATGGAGGATTGGTTGGGGGTGTGAATGAATGCGGTGATGGATGGTTGGTTGGTTGGGTGACTGATCCGAAACGAAGAGATTAAAAGGAGAGGGACTCTCGGTTAATATAATATTCCAATTAAGCTATGGATTGGAAGCTCAGCAGATACTGCTGACTTTGAGTTTCTCGATTTGATTTTATCCTCTATCCAATCATTCAATATTTTTCGAATGCTTATCATCATGCCATTTTCGTTTCCCCAAATTTCCCATTTTGGTTTGATTAAAATCATTTCTATATGTATATCCACTATCCCAATTCCCAAGGGGCGTTCTTCAACAATGCATAAATAAATTCCAAAGGATAAGGAAGTAAAACAATGAGATTTTTCCAATAATAGCACCCTTTAAAAAAAAAATTACAAAAATAGCACCCTGCCAAAAATATTTACAAAACTAGCACCCTTTTATATTGACCGCACCCTCCAGGTGCGATTTACACATAAACCGCATCCCCAAGGTGCGTTTTACACGTAAATCGCACCTTGAGAGTGCGATCTGATTTGGTGGGCCTAAATCGCACCTTGCCCGTGCGATTTCATGTCTGGCCTACATGAAACGCAGGGCCGAGGTGCGATTTAGGCCTGACCTACCTAAATCGCACCTCGGCCATGCGATTTACTTCTCCAAACATGAATCGCATCTGCAAGGTGCGGTTTCACCACGTAGATCGCACCCCCCAGGTGCGGTTTACGTGTCAATTATTTCCCGACACCCATCACAGACATGCAGAGAATTATCGACGTAGGTTGCATGGCAGACTAAAACCGCACCCTAGAGGTGCGGTTTTCACAATTTTTTCCCCTATATAAAGACTTGCCGGAAAACAGACTCTTCACACCTCTCATTCTCCCTCACATTCTCTTTCATTTTTCTGTTGTATATCTATATTTATTTAGTGTGTTTGCCATTAAGATTAACTCGTAAGTTTATTTTGTGTTACTTTTTATGCCATTAACATTATCTCGTAAGTTTATTTTGTGTTACTTTTTATGCCATTAACATGAACTCGTAACTTTAATTTGTGTTACTTTTTATGCCATTAACATTAATTCGTAAGTTTATTTTGTGTTACTTTTTATTGTTATTTGTGATTTGTGATTTTTATGATATTAACTAAAACTATGGTTTGTTTGTATGCAGATGGCATTCCGTCAGTTGTTGCTTGGCTTACGGTGGAATGGTTACACGGAAGACACCGGAAAGGGGGCCACCTACGTCGGTGGCAATTTTCAGAAAGTAACGGTCGGTACCAGACCGAAGCTTGAAGACCTCCATCGAATATGCACTGACGTTACTTGCATGGATGGCACGAGGAGGGTAGATCGTATGGTGTACCGATACCCAAACAGAGCAACTGGGTCATTGTGGCATGAGGAATATACCATAACCACTCAAGATGACGTAGATTCCATGCTCGAATTCTTGAGGTCCAACAAATTGCACAAAGCCGAGATGTTCGTTTACACCGAGCCAGCCGTTAGTGTTGGAGGTCATTCTGGACACGGTCAAACATCTGGTATCCATGGTGGAGGTGAATTATATGACGATCATCCCTACCAAAGTTACCATGATCCTCATTCCTATTTTCAGTACCAAGATGGAGGGCAAGGTGCAGGCCATCATCAATCGTTCTCGTCATATGAAGAAGAAGTTCAACCGGACATCCCCAACCAAGCCCAGTACAACTTCCTGACAGGCAGCGGTAGTTTTCACAACTACCATTATGGAGCTGATGAAGGTGCCTTTCATGAGCAGGATCAGACGGATGCTGCCACACCAGGACCAGTCAGCGACCCCTCTGATGAAGAAGGAGAAAACAACGTCAGTGCAGACAGCTCAGACCCTCTTGAAGGTGCTGATGATTCAGCACCAGATTCGGGTTCGGATAATGATGGTGATGTGGCTCCTGACCGTGTACCAGTCCCCTACTACAATCACATTCCAGACGACAATTGGATGGTCGACAGCGACATGGAGCCGCCAGAGGTCCCAATATGGGGCCCACTCACTGGGTTTACGAAGGGCCAACAATTTGGCTCGAAGAAGGATGTGCGGCACGCCCTTGAGACTGAAGCAATGACTCGGCATTTTGAATGGGACACAACTCATTCCAACACCAAAAGGCTCATAGTCAGATGCCGTAATCATCACGAGGGGTGCAATGTTAGGATTCGGGCCATCAACAGCAAGAGACACGGCCACTGGGTCATATCCCGTGCGGTCAACACACACACATGTGTGTCATCCATAACTTCCCAAGGCCATCGACAGTTGAAATCCAGGGTGGTTGCTGCGGCTATCAAGCATCTGATTGAGGCTGAACCGGATCTGAAAATCAAAGTCATAATCGCTGACATTGCAAGTCGTTTTGGTTATATGATTAACTATAAGAAGGCGTGGCATGGAAAGCAGAAAGCTATGGCCGCCGTCTATGGTGATTGGGAAGAATCGTATGCATTCCTTCCCAGACTAATACTGGCATTGGAGGCGTCTAACCCTGGGACTGTGTTCTCCCCTCGATACCAAGACGAAGAGATACAACCCCCAGAGGCAGGTAACGAACGCCATTTTCGCAGACTGTTTTGGGCATTCAAGCCTTCTATTGATGGTTTTGGCTTTTGTATCCCTGTGATTACTGTGGATGGTACATTCCTTACCGGCAAGTACAAGGGCACTCTCCTGATTGCCAGTGGGGCGGATGGAAACAGACAAGTCTTTCCTTTAGCCTTCGCCATTGTTGAGGGAGAGAATGCTGATAGCTATGGATGGTTTTTCCGACAAATCCAAATCCACGTCACCAAGAGGACGAACCTGACAATAATCTCTGATCGGCACGCCGGCATCAGAGCAGCCATCTTAGGCCTGGATCCAGCCTGGAATTGGTCCCAAAGGTGGTGCATACGACACTTCAAAAGCAACTTCGTCGGCCAATCGCGAGTACCTTGCCGACCATCTCGGCCATGGAAGGCCCTTTGACTTGCGGGGACCTCAAACGGAATGCACTGCTCCCGACCAAACTGACGGAGGCATCGATCCGGCAAGTGCCACTCCACGGTCCCAAAACAAATTAGAGGAACCCTCGTGCACCATTGCCCGATATGACCGGGGAATTGCTGGAGATGCCATTGAACGATGTTCTCCGGGTATGGATCGAAGACGATCTATAAGATAGAAATGAGTAACGTAAGATTAAATAATTAGAAATATACATGTAGTCCCATGAAAACACAAATATAAATGAATCGCGGTATAGAAGTTACCTCTCCTTCCCAAAGTCGCTCAAACCTCCTCCGATACTCCTCCAACTTGTGTTGGGCAAGGTTGTCGCATGTTGTGTGTCCAAGCCACCTTATTAATATGACAAGAATGAAACTACAATAAGATAAAACACAAGACAAAATGTGTTATGACTACATGATGGGGGTATGAGAAGTTTACCTTGCTCCATAAGCTTCACCTCTTAGGGGATGATCGATTGGCCAATCCCTGTCTGGACGTTGGGCCGGTGCAAGCCATGGCATATGCTCCCAAGCCCAAAATTGGACGATGAACATTGCGCCGCCAACCTCCCTCACGGCTTTGTTCGCCGCATTGCACAAGTTGTTGTAGATGATAGCTAGGCATGCAGATGCCCAACTATACTCCCCCATCTCCTCCCAACTACTGAAGATGATCCTAAGCCATCCACAACTAAGGAGATTGCTTGCTTTCTTGGAGAAGAACACTCCTCCGATCATGCCTATGAGATAGACACGAGCATATCTCTCCTTCTCATCCTCCGGACTTTCCTCCGTAAGCGGATGACTCTCGTAATGATCTCTAAAATACTTCGTCAACCAAGTAATTGAGACTTGGTGTTTCCTCAATGGTGGCATGCGATCGGTCGCATCAACGTGCCCCTTCACCGGTACTTTCACTCCCAAATGCTCGTGGATGAAATGCTGCCAACCGGGCATACCGTCACAATCCTCGGGGGGATGATCACTCACGCACACTGGTTTGCCGTCGATGGGCAGATGGGTTAGGATGGCGACATCCTTTAGCGTGATGGTGGCCTCCCCTTCTCTAAGGTTGAAACAATGGGTCTCCTTTCTCCATCTCTCGGCCAATGCGGTGATGAGTTGACGATCGATTTGGATGCCGTTAAAATGCCTAATCGAGTCTAACCGTGCCCTTTTGAGAAATGGCAAGATAGCGGGGTGGAATGGGAGCACATTTGTGGTACCCCTGTAGCGGATTATTGTTTGTGACTCCTAGGAAAATTTTACACGTTAATTATTATTAGTAAGGGTGTTTTTTCGTATAACTAAATTAATTTAATTAAATTATGCAACATAAAACATAATTTTATTATCATAAAAGGACATTTCATATTATCATAAAACATTGTCAATGAATAATAATTTAAAGAGGTACATACATATTATCGTAAAACAAACATATTTAATTAATTAACATAAATAACATTGTTAATGAATAATAATTTAAGTAGAAACATACATATTCAAATGTTTGGTAAATAATTTAATCGTGTTGGTGGTTTTAAATAATTTAATCGAATACAAAGCAACACTCGTTAGACTCTTAGAAGAGGTATACATCTTCTTAGAAACGCAGTCTTTTTGACAGAAAAAGGGGGGATCCGAGGATCTCTTAATACCCGATTTTCCCAGGTAATGGGAGGATATGATAATCGCTTAAAACCCCATTTCCTTAGACGTGCATCTCTTTATAAAGAGTCGAAGAAAGTGGCGCTATGTATTCGATTAAATTATTGAAAACCACCAACACGATTAAAAAATAAACATAAATTTATTTTATATTACACTAGGCACATTAACAAAATAAAAGAAGGACAAATGGTGAAGAATTGTATGTACCGGGTGATCGTTCCAAACATCCCTTGACCGATGATTGGCTTGGTCGTACAAGTCGGTTGGATCCACCGGTCCTTGCTCGAGATAATACCTTTGGTTGTATATATCGACGCCCTCCCCAACCTACGATAAAATAACTAGGTTAGTACATAGATTAATTAAAAAACT